CCTGCAGGTAGCTGTGGGTGTTGGGGCTTGGGGGCAAGGCTTTCCCCACCAGCCAGCTGGCCAGGCAGTGGGTAGAACCCCCCCAAAGTGGGTAACCCCCATCAAACCGGGGGTCTGACAACCCTGGAAACAGACCATTAAACCAGCTACAAAGATTAGTAAAGGGGGTATCTGTATCCAAGCCCTGACAATAGCTTGATTAGTGCTCTTTGGCCCACTTAATTTTTCCAGACAGTTTTGGAAGTCAGCCCCATGCAAAGTGCACTACAGTAACCTAACCTAGATGCAATCACAGCCTGGATAACCATGGCCAAATGACAAATTTATTAGAGGAAATAATTTACATTCATTACAGTTAATTTACATTCCTTACAATCACCTTAACCTTTCATTTGTTTTGATTAAAATTTAAATTCTAAACAATAATAAGATAACAATTTCAAGCACTGTTATGGAATAATTCACCTGGGCTTTCACTTCCAACTGATTATTAGCTTAAGCCAAGCAACAGCAGTAAAAGTTTCACCTAAACTCGCTCCCAATCTTTTCTGTTTTGTCTAGCATTCCCTCAGCGATCCCTCCTTCCTGCCCCGTTATGTCTGTGTAGTTTATTATATGTACTTTATGTACTTTATATAGTTTATTATATGTACTTAAACTTGGTTTTAATTGTTTTAGTGATGTGTTTTTGTTTGGTTTTAATGCTTTTAAAGATTTTTAAATTATATATGTTTTTAATCTGTTTGCTGTCTTGTTGGCCCTGATGAGGGCAGAAAGGCAGAGTATAAATGTTGTAAACAAATTAAATAACTAAGTCAGAGAACTCAGGAGAAGCTTTACGAGTAGATGTGTTTCAATCAGGTCCACTAAGATCAGGGCCAGGGGAGTTTATGCAAAACTAATTATTCTTTATCTCAAGCTTCATTATATTTTAATTTCAGTAAAGCAGTAATGCTAACAAATTCTGTGGGTACAGTATTACAGAAGCCATGTGTAACTGAGTCTTTTTATAGTACTATGCAACAACATCCTTCTCACATCCAATTTCAGATATTTTTTCTATAGCCTGTGCAGCTATATACCGGACCTTTTCCATATGCAATTAAGTAATGGAGACTAAGTGGTTGTACATGACATTTAATCTTCACTAGCTGAATAAAGTAAGAATAGGTTACAGGCAAGATCATTAATCTCCTTTGGATGATTTGCCCTACCAAGGATAGCAAGTAATTCTTCATTTTACTAGCAGCACTATTTTTTACCATTGTAATTTGTGGTCTACATTAGATTTAAAGATTCATACACACTAACTATAAGATATACTGGCTGCAATCCTAGGATTGCCCACCTCCAGGTGGGGCCTGGGGATCTCCCACTTTTACAACTGATCTCCAGCTGACAGACATCAGCTCCCCTGGATAAAATGGCTGCTCAGAACGGTGGACTCTGTGGCATTGTACTATGCTGAGGCCCCTCCCCTCCCCAAACCCTGCCCTCTCCTGGATCCAACTCCAAACTCATCAGGTATTTTCCAACCCAGACCTGGCAAGCCACTGAAAAAAAATCAGACTTACTTCTGAGTAGACCTGTTTCTACAGACACAAGTCCAGAGGATATGGATTTAGTCACTGTTTATATTCCATACTTTTACAGAGATCAAGCTCAGTATTAATCTCTGGGAGTCAAAAATAGAAGCAGTAGTGCCTTGCACATATTGCTTCTACTTATTTTAGCAGAGGACAAAAAGTCCAGATATTTGGCAATTCTAGATGTGAACCAAGGAAGGCTTAACATTTTTCCTTGATGAGCTCTGAGACTGAGGAAAAGAAGAGTCAACATCTTGGCTTCCAGGAATTAAAATCTGTGAACATCTCCCAAGACAGATGGGCCATGTTGTTTGTCAAAACAGTGCAAAACATGAGGCTATTAAATCTGTGCATGTCATAGAAAACCATGAACTTAAGTGCCTGGAGAATAGGTTGTGTTTGCCTGAACGGCGTAAACATAATTCTATAATATCCAGCCAGAAAGAGAGTTCTGATAAGTGATAACCCTTTGAATGATAAAAACAGAAAAGCACACTCCCATATAGGGTTGCCAGCCTCCAGGTGCGGCCTGGAGATCCCCCACTTTTACAACTGATCTCCAGCTGCCAGAGATCAGCTCCCCTGGAGAAAATGGCTGCTTTAAGGGTGGACTCTATGGCATTGTACCATGCTGAGGCCTCTCCTCTCCCCTCCCCAAACCCCACCCTCTCCTGGCTTCCCCCCCCCAAAGTCTCCAGGTATTTTCCAACCCAGAGCTGGTAGCCCTACTTCCATATTAATTCTGTAGCCCAGTTTTTTAGATCATCTGCAGGACTTCAAAGCTTATTGAGAGAGAGAGAGAGAGAGAGAGAGAGAGAGAGATTTGTCTACACTTTGGAGCACAATGTATAATTGAAAAATTATGTTAAATATAATTATTTTATTATAAGTGTTTCCAAATATTTACAGCAATCATGTTATGCAAGTTACTATTAAAGGTTCCATATTACAGAAGCGTAGTGGTTGTTACAGTTACTTAGTGAGGCAAAATTTTAAACACTGGCATATACTTTTAGCCATTAGACTATATCTAAGGCATAATCCGTCCGATCTAAGCACTTTTAAGTGCCATTAAGTGATGGGAAGACTTAATGACTATGCCATTCTTAATGTAAGAACTCTCCCACTGAAATCAATGGGGCCTACTGTTTACCTTTTGGTGAATGAGACCCCTGGTGAACAAGCCCTGCAACCATTCCTCTGTTCTGTCTGAAAATAGTGTTTATTTGTTTGTTTACCATTAAGCATTAACACTCGAATAGATAATAAAACCTAGAGATACAAATGAATACAATAAAAACAGAAATCTAATTAAAAATTCAACTGGTCATCAGTTCTGGAACAAATCTGGACAGCCAGCCAGTTCATCCATTCTCTTGGTTAATTAAAAGCTGCACAAAACAAGGCAGCCTTGCATGCCCTATGGAGTCCTTATAGATCTGATAGAGCATGAATTTCCTCAGGGAGCTGGTTCCAGAGGGCGGGGGCCTCCCTAGTTTCTCAGCAGCAAAGCTTTCAGGGGCAGTGGTTTTCTTCCCTTTGGATGGCAGTACGCCCTGGATATTTAGGGTAGCTTATATTTGTTTTATTTACTAATGTACAGTAGGTGGGGGGAAATAAGCAGTTCTATTGATCAGCAGATCCATTACCTTATATGAGATCCCCAGAAAAAGAAACTCTACATTTCAAATCAAAGTTCATGCTCTTTCTCTCTCTCCTCTCTGTTCCTACCTTCCAAAGTCAATCTGTTTATTGTGCTTACATAAACACATAATCTGCTCTGTACCTAAGTTGGAGGAATCATCATCCTCACTCAAGTTCTCATTCAAAAACAGGCCTCCAATTTAGGGAACATCAGCAACCATTAAAAACATTAAAATTCACTTGTCAAAGGTCACAACTCCCACAAGGTGCCAGTTTAGGCCAAATGATAGAGAAGGACCCCTTTTTTGTAATCAGGCAGCAAACCTACAACTATATAAGCTGGCTGATCTTCTGCCTTACAATATACCATCCTTCTGATTCTCCCCTAGCCCAGTCCACTTTCATTCCCTAGACTCCTTCCAAACATCAAATTTCAGAAAATTTTGTTTCATGAAATCCTCTCTATTTCAATCAAATAACCATGTGCTGCTTGATTCTCCAATTGCAGCCAGTCTACACGTATGTGTCCACCCCAGGGCTTGTTTTGTAGAAAAAGCCCAGCAGGAACTCATTAGCATAATAGGCCATACCCAACAGCAGAAACTCATTAGCATATTAGGCCAAACCCCTGATAGCACCGCGCATTAGCATATTAGGCCATACCCCCATGTTACCAGAAGTGTGGTCATCCAGCCACACCCACCTTTTGCTTCTTATTCTGTTTACCTTGTTTGTTGTCAAAAGCCAGGGCTTTTTTTGTAGCAGGAACTCCTTTGCATGTTAGGCCACACACCCCTAATGTAGCCAATCCTAATGAGTTTCTGCTGTTAGGTGTGGCCTGTTATGCTAATGAATTCCTGCCCAAAAATAGCCCTGGTCATCCCATCTGTGATGGGACCTTTTTTCCTACATCAGAATGATTTTAACAAAGTCTTTAACTTGTCTTGCTTTCAATCAGCAAGCCAGTTTTTCATTGGTTCCATAATGATACCATATGCTTACATGATATGACTAGGAGGGAGGGAGGTGTTTAGAGTTTTGTTTCATTTGATTTTAACCTGAAATGTTTTAATTATGATTATGATTTCTAAACTGCTTTGAGCCAAAAGGAATGGTGGGGAATAAATATTTTAAAGAAGAGATACAAATAATCACCAAAGGATTAATGATGACAGTAATATTTATCAAACTTCAAAACAAGAAATGACCACTGTCCAATCAATAAATAAGACAATTACATTTCTCATAGAAGTGGCAACCAAGAAGCCCTTTCAAAAAGATTGAAATCCCAATTAGCAGGGGGAGCAGTGGATAGATAGACTGAATCTAAATGCTCAGCCCCTTCCTGCCCAGCTGTTTGATGCAAAAGAGGAACTACACACACAGTACCCAGTTAAACATGTGATTTGACATCCATTTAGCAGAGCAGTAGTGCATAAGCTTGCTGCCATGTATACAGCAGCTTAAATTGAATCAGAGTGATGACTAGCCCAAGGTTACCTAGTAAGTTTCCAGATAAGGTGAGGATTCGAACCAGGGTCTTCCACATCCTACTCAGACACTCTAACCACTAAATCACTCTGGCTGTCATAACAAATTGTGTGAGAAATTGCAAAATGTTTAAAAGGCTTGTCCTTGAAAGCATATTTTAGCAGCCATCAATTTTATTTGGAAATTCACTTTTTCTCCATACATAGCACTTCCCAGTTCGAGCAACTAGTCTCTGATTTGATGATAAACTCACTTGTTTACTACTTATGTCATTCTTACCGTATGAATACCAGTTTGACCTTTGATGGGGCAGTCTTAATTATTGCAGAAGCATTTTGGTGACTTCTTCCGTACAAGATCTGGTTATTTATCTGTTTTATAAAAAAAAGAACATCAAACATAATTAAAAATTAAGCCAAGACAAAAGGTTATGTATTGCTTTGTAATTTTATCACATACTTCTGAAGGAAATGTTCTCTTCTCTACACTTTTTCTTTTAATCTAATCTTCAGTCAGCAAGCAAGGATAAAGTTAAAAGGTATGAGTCTTTTGATTTTTGTTTTAGTTTTACTGTGATAACTTTCTGTGTGAATAAAGTTTTGATCAATTGGACTAATTATAACTGTAGAATAAGACTGATTATATAAACCAAGGTTGTGCCATTCACTACTTCAAATACAACTCGATAGTGAGAGATAAAAATCACACACACTGTAAAATGGAGGAGATAGAAATCCTATTCCGTAGAAACCTACTGCAATGTCAAAACATATCACAGTTTTGCCTTTTATTACTTTGTTCCCTTGCAGGAGTACAGATCAGTATTTTAAAAGAGTCTTCTTAAAGCACAATGGCATTTTAGTATGATAGCATGCAAAAATGCATGAAAAGCAAAAATAGTCAATGTTAACCTCTTTCAGTGCACCTCAGAAACCTCGAGGCCTGCCATCAATCCACATAAAGCAAGACTTAGCTTTGATGTGGTTTCCCTTGAAAAACTGGTAGATACAAGCAAATTTAAACATTTTCCATAAGTATTTCAAGTGAGATTGGGAATTGATATATTCCAGTCCAGTAGTTCTGTTAGTCTGTTCCACAAAAACAACCAAGTCTGATGGCACTTAAAGACTAACAGATTTATTATGGCACAAGCTTTCAGGGTCACTTCATTAGATTCACAGGAAATGACAGTAATAAACCTAAGGAAGGAAAATGTTAATTTTCAGTGATAGCAGAATAATTCCTCATGTCAAGGAAATGACAACATAACTAACTAATGGAAACAAGATCATAATAGCCAATTCAGAAAAATGTCCAGTGCAGCTTTCTGTAGGAAAGTGAAAGAATCTTACACCGACAGAAGTAGGTTGGTGACATTAGCGAACAGAATTTTTTGTTAAAGATATAATGAAGTTTCTGCTCCAAACAACAGTGATAAAGCACATTCAATAAAATCCCCCAGCATATATTCCAGAAATATCAGGCTATAAAATACAGAAAGCAAGCTATAATTTTTGACACAAATTATTCACCTAAGAAAGCAGGCCAGAGTCACACATGTTTCAGTGCAATCTTTGGGTATATTGCCTGCATTCTTGCTGGGAGTAATTCTGCTCTCACAAATGGAATTAAATTATTTTTTGAGAAATGCGCTAATTGTTGAACCAAGTATTTAACATCTTATATCACCTACATGTAATACTATGTGTATTCCCATATATCCATGTGTCATGTAGCCTGTTTCAAATCAGACTGAAACAGAATGGTTCAAGGTTGAGAAGGGTGCTCAAACAGGGTTCTCATGACCAAGGACAGCATACTGTCTCCGCACCACACCTTTACTCAAATTTGAAAAGGCCCTTACACTACGAACAGAGCCCTAACTAAACAAGCTGGTTACCTGTATAGTTTCCCTATTGGGGAAAAGAGCAGCCTGGGATATGTGTGTGATGTATATAAAAAATGGCACAGGAGAAAAAGTGAAACCTCTTCAGAGATGTGTTGTGATCTAATTGCCTTCCTTTCCACATAGCTGCTAAAAGATACAGAAGATCTGATCAGGGATCTCTGATGTCTCATCCTGTAAAGCCCTATAAATGGGGGGGGGGGACTGCAAACTTGGAGCATGAAATTTACCTCATAATCTCAAGCAGCATACTTGTACAGAGCAAATCAAGTGAATTGTAAGGTAGGAGTTCCACTGAGTCTTTAGCAGTGAATTTAGAGTAAGCAACATTTCTAGTATAAGCAGAAATTCTATCTACAGCTGTTTTTGCGGAATTAAGGATGCCAGCCTCCAGGTGGGACCCGGGATCCCCTGGAATTACAGCTCATCTCCAGACTACAGAGATCAGTTCCCCTGGAGAAAACGGACACTTGGGACTCTACAGCACTGTACCCCACTGAGGTCCCTGTCTTCCCTAGGCTCCATCCCCAAATCTCCACAAACTTCCCAACCTGAAACGGGCAACCTGACCACTCCATTGCCTGCCAGTTGCCAGGGGGCCCTGGCAACCCTAAATATTATTTTTGAGTAATTTTATAAACCTTGGGAATGTCCTCCCTTCAATATCTTTGATACTGATATCAAAGACTCAATTGCTTTACTCTTTTCTTGTAGGCTTCATAACAAAACAACCATTACTTACTGTAATGTTAAAATCATCTCGGGGCTCATTATGAGGAACAGATGTAGTCAGAGAAGGGTAAAAGAACAAAAGGCAAGAAAAGATAAAAGAAACTACTAGCTGGAGTGGCTATATTATCAATAAAGATTAAAACAGAAAATGAGATTTAAAGCAAAGCATACGTTTTTGAGTGATACCGACATCATAAATATTTCATAGAAGGTGGATGTGGTTCCTTAAGATAAGAAAAACATAGGAGTATTATAAGAAAGAGGAAATTATGGCTATACATCAAAATATGGAGGATGATTAGTTTGGGAATCATTTCTACGGGCAACTGAAACCTCCTTTGAAAAAAAAAATAGCTTCAGGCTCTGGATTCAGCCCTCTTCAGGAACAAAGCACATATCACTCTTCCAATAAAGAAGAATGGGTAGGTTTTAACAATAAGGTTTCTCAGTTCAGTGTGGTGTCATGGTCAGAATGATATACTAGGCTCTAGGACAGGGGTATCAAACGTAAGGCCTGGGGGGTGGAACCCGCCCATCCAGGGCTGTTATGTGGCCCGTGACCAACTGGTGTAAGGGAGGGAGCAGGAGGCTTCTTGGGGGTGGGTGGGTGGAGCCGCTCCAATTGTGGCTTCAGCACGGCAGGACAACCTGCAGCAGTCGAGCAGAACCCCTTCACTTCAGGTAAATTGGGAGCCACTGCAGCCGCATTCATACCTCTCCATTCAGCCTGCAGCTCCAGGGATGCTGTCCCGAATGGCTGCAGGGATCAGTGTTTGCATGTGGGGATGTGCAAACAATCCTCTGTTGGGGCATGGGAATATCTGCCCAGTGCTGCACTGCTGGCTCTCCAATCCACCCATGTGGGCTTTCCTCCGCACCCCCCTCCCAGCCCATGGGGCCTTGCAGTAAGGATATATCAACTTGAAGCTTGCCAGTTTTTGCCCTTTATAAAGTTTATTATCTCCGGTAACCAGCATTACATTTTATGGCATACATGGCCCGGCCCAACAAAATAACATTTATGTCAGATCCGGCCGTCACAACAAATGAGTTCAACACCTCTGCTCTAGGTGAGGTTAACATGGATACTTGTTCACACCCCAAACATTTCCTGTAGAAGAAGAAGAAGAGATTGGATGTAGCCTAACCTATAGGCATGGCATGCCAACTGGCAGGAGATGGAACAGGTGGGGACGTATGCTGGGTGGGGGGCATGATTGACATCTCTAGTGTGATGATTAGAACTCATGGATGTAATTTATGAGCCAGTGTCCATTATTTTTGAGAATTCTTGGAGAACAGGTGAGGTGCTAGAAGACTGGAGGCGGGCAAATGTTGGCCCCATCTTCAAGAAGGGGGAAAAGGAGGATCCGGATAACTACTGACCCATCAGCTTGCCCTTTATACCTGGAAAAGTTTAGAACAAATCATCAAACAGTCAGTCCTTGAGCACTTAGAAAGGATGGCTGTGATTGCTAAGAGCCAGCATGGGTTTCTCAAGAACTAATCATGTCACACACTAACCTTATCTCTTCTTTTAAGAAAGTTACTACCTTGCTGGATCAGGGAAATGCTGTAGACATAGTTTATCTTGGCTTCAGTAAGGCTTTTGATAAGGTTCCACATAATATACTTGTTGACAAATTGGTAAAATGTGGCTGCTGTATGCCAATGATTTAGTTCTTATTTCCCTTTACAGAGGGAGGAAGATATCCCCAGTGCAATTCAGGTTTTCAATTCTAAAATAATAAATGGGGTCTCTATCTGGATTTCGGTGATCACAGAATCTTTTGACCACCCCCTATGTCAGTTTATATGCAGGATAATGGGAGTCCCTTGTTGCATCTCAGATGTATCTCTCAGAGCTGAACTTGGCCAAAAGTCATTGGAAGCTAGAGCATGTCTTAGTGCTTTCAAGCTAAGGCTAAGGATTCTTTTTTGCTTTGGAAGACGAAGGTCTGTTGTTCTTTCTTAAACAAGATGCTTACCATTCTCAACGGATGAAGACTAGATTAAGGTAGCTAGGGCTTATAACTAAAGATATCTTCTTGCTAGGTAAAATGTCTTTCACTTGTCCAGCATCACTTTGTGGAGGTGGATTACAACAGTACAATGATTCACTCATGCAGTGTCTGTTTGAATCAATATTTTGGTTATCTTACCTCCTCGGACTCTGCTATTACACAGGAGACAACTACTGGCCCCCACCCTTGTTAGGGCATTCGCTTTATCTCACCTTATAATGCCATCCCATCCAAAGTGTTACAGGGGAGATTTTGTTATATTCCATATATTCAGATTGTCTTTGCCCTTGCAGTCAGGGTAAAACTGATACTCTTGTCTCACAAAATATTGGAATGTCATTTTTTTACCGCTTTTAGGAATTGCTGGATCTCACTGCTTTTAACATACTCTCTGTTTAATAAACTCCAAGGGAATAATATTCCCTATCTGATGCTAGACAGTGACCCGAACATAACCTACTTGGTAGCCAAATTTCTGTCTAACGTTTTCCTTTAGTAAGTAATGTATTATTCTTTTAGTAATTGCTCAAGATCATCTACATGGAGCTGCGGTGGCTCAAGTGGTTAAGACGCTGAACTGCAGGCTGTGGAAGGTCAGTAGTTCAGCGGTTCAAGACCCGGGTGCCGCAAGACAGGGTGAGCTCCTGTCTCTAGTTCCAGCTCCTGCCAACCTAGCAGTTCGAAAGCAAGAAATTGCAAGTAGATAAATAGGGACCACTTCGGTGGGAAGGTAACAGCGTTCCGTGCGCCTTGGTGTTTAGTCATGCCGGCCACATGACCACGGAAATGTCTTCGGACAGCGCTGGCTCTTCGGCTTTGAAACGGAGATGAGCACCGCAACCCTAGAGTCGGATTCGACTGGCTTTCGAGAATGTAATATTCTTTTAGTAATTTTACAAGATCATCTGATAATAGGAGTTCTGAAAAGGAAAGGAAAGGTTTGTTGCTATATCAGTAAAATTGGAATATGTTTGGGTTCAAATGCTCCAGTCCCTCCTTCCTCTCTTTCCTGTGAAGTGAGATAATTAGTTATTTCCATGTTTACACCTAACTGCATCTGAACCACGACCTATGGTTTGCACATCCTGGACAAACCAGCATTCCAAACTGATAATGCTGTTGTGATGAGAAGCATAAGCCATAGTTCACTGATACACATTTAAATGTAAACTAGGATGGGATGAAAGCCCCAAATAAATATTTATCTCACTATGCACAAGGACAGAAATCAGTAAGAATGCCTAAGGATCCCTCAGTCTCATTCACATAGCAGCACACTACGTTTTACCATTACATCAGACCCAAGTAATCAAGGGGGCAGCAACAGCACGGGGAATGGAAGAGGAGTCAAGCAAAATGTGGGATGATGGCAAGAGAAAAGTTAGAAGCAAATAGAGTACAAAACTCTTCTGCACTGAATGAAAGCATTCTATCCCAATCCTGGCTACTTGACTTTAAGAGACTGAACCTGGAATCTTAGGCATGCAAATCATGTGCTTGTCACTGAAGGGCCAGAAGGAGTTTGTGCCATTAAGATTTGTGGTACTTAAAAAAAAAAAAAACTTTTGTCTGCCTACAAGCACATAGACACATTCAAACATTTAATAATCCAATGACTAATCATCCTAAAGAAGGTAGCGTAAAGCAGAAGATTGAAGCAGTTCTGTCCTGCTCCAGTTTGCCATTCCATTGAGAGACAGACTAACCTTTCATAGCCTTGTTCTCAATATCCACACCCATTATATACATTATATACAAATAATATAAAACACTGCAGTACTTGTAAAACACATAGCTCCCACAAATATTCTTTAAGTCTTCTACAGCTTTGAACTAGACTCTGTTGTATTACCTACCCTGCCTCACTGCAACAGGGAGTATGACATTTTCTATTGCTATAAATGCATCGACATGCCAGTGTTCCTGAATTCCATTATTAGTATGACACAAGAAGCGGGACCCGTGATACTCATGGGGGTGAGTATGCCCCACAGCCCATGGCCCGCAAATCAGGAGGAGGTCCTCACTGAGGAGGAGGCTGCAAGTGAGCCCAGCAGCAACAGTGGCAAGCCCTGTCCGGGTCCCAGCCACCACCCGCCCAGGCTCCCCCCACCCACCCAGCAGCAATGGCGGTGAGCCCTGCATGGCTCCCAGCCGCCCGGCCGTTGCCCACTGCGGCTACTCTCTCTCCCCCCCCCAGCAGCAACAGCGGCGAGCCCTGCTCGGATCCCAGCTGTCCACTCCCCAAGGCTCCCCCGGCTCCTTCACAGCTGCCAGCAGCAAGCTCCACCACAGTTCCAAATGGCAAGTCCATTCTCCACGCATGTGTGAGAATGCAGTTTCAGTTTTTTGGGGATTTAAGTATCCCCATATATTTTTTTTAAACATGTCAGATTTTTCTGCACACCCAAGTAATGCCTCAAGTGTGCAGGAATTTCTGTTGAGCCTCCATGTGCCCCCAATTTGCGGAAATAAGTATCTGCATGCACTGGGGACACTTGGCTATTAGTATATAGATTTGTTCTAACATCATTGCCCATCATCCTGGTTTTATTTCTGTTATTGACTGTACATTTTCCCATTTAAAATAATTATTCAAGAATGACAAGTCATAACCAGTGCTGAACAGTAGACAGGTTTGGAGTTCGGATTTTTAAAAAAATGACCAGAGTTGACAACAGACAGAACAGCCAGACAAGCAGCTTTCAAAAGGGGGGGGGAGTACTTTCTGTTTGACACAAAGATCAGCCAATCAATGCTGCAAATACATTGCTTTAAATAAGGGGAAAGAAGAAGAAGAGAAGAGATTGGACTTATACCCCGCCCTTCACTTGGAGTCTCAGAGCGGCTTACAAACTCCTTTCCCTTCCCCTCCCCACAACAGACACCCTGTGAGGTGGGTGAGGCTGAGAGAACTCTGACACAAACTGCTCTTTTTCAAGGACAGCTGTGCCAGAGCTTGTGACTGACCGAAGGGCACACCAGCAGGTGCGAGTGGAGGAGTGGGGAATCAAACCCGGTTCTCCCAGATTAGAGTCTGCACACTTAACCACTACACCAAACTGGAAAGGTTCTACTAGTTTGGTGTAGTGGTGTGGAGTGCGGACTTTAATCTGGGAGAACCAGGTTTGATTCCCCACTCCTCCACACGCAGCTGCTGGTGTGACTTTGGGTCAGTCATAAGTTCTTTCAGAGGTGCTGTCTCAAGAGCAGTTCTTGAGAGAGCTCTCTCAGCCCCACCTACCTCACAGAATGTCTGTTGTGGGGAGGGGAAGGGAAAGGAGTTTGTAAGCCGCTCTGAGACTCTAAGTGAAGGGTGGGGTATAAATCCAATCTCCTCCTCCTCCTCCATCCTTGGCAGAAGGTTTGTGTGACTGCAACTGTGAAAGTTCTGAGCTGAATTTATGCATGCCTGTATGCAGCCTCAAAGAGCCAGTTTGGTGTGGTGGTTAAGTGCACAGACTCTAATCTGGGAAAACCGGGTTTGATTCCCCACTCCTCCACTTGCAGCTGCTGGACGACCTTGGGCAAGCCATAGTTCTGTCACAGCTTTTCTCTCAAGGACAGTTCTGGAACTTACCTCACAGGGTCTCTGTTGTGGGGAGGGGAAGGGAAAGGAGTTTGTAAGCCGCTCTGAGACTCTAAGTGAAGGGTGGGGTATAAATCCAATCTCTTCTTCTTCTCTTCTTCTACTACTATTTCTAACAGTTAAAATTAATCCTATTCAAGATGAACAGATAATTATAGTTAATTTAAATAGATTTAAAGCAGTGTGTTAAATACAGTGTGTTACTTAAATACAACAAAATTGAAGGATGGCCAAAAAAAAAAATCCCCATTTTTTTTCAATCATCCCATGTGTTCATTCTTCTGCAAGAGAACACATACCCTCACTCTCAAGCTAAGAGAAACAGAATTAATATGATCTATTTCAAAACTGGATATGTTGAGTTAGACTGCTCGGATACCATGATAACAGCTATTAAACCCTAACAAAAATAGAATCACATGATCACAGCTAAAATATCAAGAAAGTTCAGCAATGAAAGTGGATTACATCTGCTGGAACTCACACAATGTAATGCCAGCATCCTAAACTTAGCAATGGATCTAAATAATGTTTTGTCAATATGAAGTACCTTGTATGTCCCTGCTGCTTCCCCAGCAATGCATATGCAATTTTAAATTGTGATAATCATATTGGGTATTTCCCCCCCTTTTAATAAAGTGATCCCCCATATATGGAGTGTCCTCAACCCCTCCCTTGACTACGGACGAGCCTGTTTTGCCACCTTACTGATTGGCACTCACGTAGAAAGTATGTCTTCCTCTCTCTTTCACTGTCCTACCAATAGAAACTTGACCATGAAGTTTGCTGTTAAAAGGAATGAAAAGACTTGCTTATGTCTTCAAACTACTGGACAGGGAGAGATTAAATTGTTTATACAGCAGTAGCAAAAGGGTTGTTGTGATGTCCCAAAATTGTGCCTGTTGGCATGTTTGCTGTATCTGGAGCTTCAGCTCATTATTTTGTACTTGGTTCTTGATCTTCTCTATCACTACACATTAAAACATTTAAAATGAAAAAGAACAATTACCTCTAGAAGTTCATCTCCAATGCGCATTCTTCCATCTTTTCCTGCTGGGCCATCTGGACTGATGCCCACAACAAAGATGCTCATGCGAGACCTGTCCTTGTTGCCAGCAAGGCTGAGTCCAAGACCATTCTTATCCTTTTCAAGCTCAATAATGTGCAACTCCCCTGGCAGATCTGCATATCTTTGCCTGATTTTCTCTGAAAATAAAAGAAATAAATAGTATATATTGTTAGGAGATAACTTTCAGTGCAACATACCAGTTGGCTGTAATTGCTTCTTGGGCTTCTGGTTTAATGAAGAAGAGTGAAACCAGGTAATTGCCCGGGAGCTCAAAAGAGTTTGCTTATTTTCACTGTATGCATTCACCAGCCAGTGCTGACCTCCAATGTCCCTTGTGCTCTCCCATGGGGTAGGATCAGCACAGACTGCCTAATGGTGTCATGTCACCCACTGGAAGTTAATGCACAAGAAGTGGATTTTTTCACCCACCTAAACTTAAGAACATAAGAGACGCCAATGTTGGATCAGGCCAATGGCCCATCCAGTCCAACACTCTGTCACACAGTGGCCAAAAATACCAGATGACATCAGGAGGTCCAGCAGGGGGGCCAGGACATTAGAAGCCCTCCCACTGTTAACCCCCCCCCCCCAAGTACCAAGAAGACAGAGCATCACTTGCCCCAGAGTTCCTTTCTATACCTTGTGGCTAACTTACTATTGAAAGTTTTGCATCAGTGAAATGCAAGAAATCCATGAATTGGCTGTCTGTACATTAGCACTGACACGTTGCTATGCTATGCCCTACTAAGAGCATTCAGACAATCACTAAAGCCATTGACAACCAGATTCTGCAAGGAGAAGGAAATAAATACATTTCTAGCTGTTGTTATTTCTTATCTCCTTGGTTCTCAAGAGTGGAGAATATTATTCCATCTTAATTATCAAGGTGCAGAAATGTGAAATGCACCTCCACACTATACTTGAGGAAGGCAGGAGTATATTAGTATGATTTATCTCATGGGTGGCTAGCCTACAGAAAATTTACTAAGTACTCTTAAGCCAGTTCCTAATTAATTTTCTGACCACTTGGTTATTTGGAGTTCACCTGTGATCAGTGTGTGTGGGGAGAGATTAGGGCTGCCAAGTCCCCCTGGGGGGTGGGAATTCCCCCGCTAAAAGAGCCCCTAATCTGCTGGTCTGGATCTGGCTGGCGGCGGGAACCCCACCCCCGAAGTAGCCAGATCAAGCTGACATGCCCAGCGCGATGACGTAGACCGGAAGTGATGTCATCACGCTGGGCACGTTGCCAGGCGACGCTCTAGCAATTGCCCTGAAAACTCTCCGTTTCAAAGCCAAAGAGCCAGCGCTGTCAGAAGATGTTTCCGTGGTCATGTGGCCAGCATGACTAAACACCAAGGCGCACGGAACGCTGTTACCTTCCCACTGAAGTGGTACCTATTTATCTACTTGCAATTTCTTGCTTTCAAACTGCTAGGTTGGCAGGAGCTGGAACTAGAGACGGGAGCTCACGCCGTCATGTGGCAACTCGGGTCATGAACTGCTGAACTACCGACCTTCCACAGCCTGCAGTTCAGCATCTTAACAACTTGAGCCACCGCAGCTCCTTTACACAGTGTAAATCAAAACAATGAACAGAATGGGATATTCAACAAACAATGGTTTTGGACTCCAGAAATCTGAAACCAAGAAGAAATCTGAACAGCTGAAACAAATCATATGCATTAATAAGACTCGTTAAACTATGCTTACATACAGTTTTTATTTATGATCCAGTGATCAAACAACAGTCTGTGTCTAGTATGCACAACATATAGGTGTAATTTTTTAACAAATTTTTAAAAACCTTTCTATATTTGCAAGATGTTGATAGATAAATTTATCAGCTTCCTTGTGATTAAAACCTTAGCACAGAATCTAGCCACTTAAATGGAGGCTTCATCTGAATGGTCTGCAAGGAGGAGGGATGTATAAAATGTATCCAATCTGCTTGGGAACTTAGAATAGGAGTGAGGTGCATGGAATTCATGTCCTTGTAGAATTTACAATGTTGTAAAACATGCTTGACCATTTCAGTTGTGCCAGATTGGCAGGGGCAAAGGTGCTGGGAGTATGAAATGCATAGGTATCTAAGCCAAGACTGAGTGATGGTTCTGTAGTATTTGGGGAATTCTATGGTGTAGAGGTAATTTGCTGGCACAAAGTTTCATGAGTAATTACTCACCACCAGATAGAGACATGCCCAAACTCTATCAGTTTGGGAGATGTATCCCAAATTTATTGTTTTATGATTTCTTTGGCTCCCGAGCACCCAAGGTGGCAAATTGCTGAGTGGGGAAAGCTGTATAGTTGTAGTTTGTTCTTGATGGTGACCAACCAAGCTTAGCAATAGGTATCTAGAAGGACTAAAGAGGCTAATCCAGATGGATTAAAATTTAATTTAAACCAAAGGCATGTTGCCGGATACCAGCTGGGTGCCTCTAGTGGTACTTGCCCCAACTCTATTCTAAGGATTTCGTTTGGTGCACAAAAAGGGACACCAAATGTACTCCTGTTTGGACTGTATGGTTTCTAGTGGGCAGGTGTCTTTATATAAACAAATTTGTGAGCCATACAGAAGTCTGGAAAATACTTTGGCTTGAAAAACTTTGATAGTGTAAGGAATGTGTGAGCTTCCCTTCGAAAAGAAAAATCTCAGGGTAGCTGATGCCACTCTTTGGGTGCTCTCAGTGGCCTGAGTCAACTGGGATTTCCACAATCCTGCGGATTGGAACACTACACCGAGCTATTTAAAAACCTTCACCTGGCAGATCAATGGGCATGAGATAGAACAGGTAAAGGTTTCCCCAGTTTCATTTTATCCATAATCCCATCAACCTATGGTTGAAGGGATTCAAAATGAAATAAAGAAAAAAGAATTAAACTGAGGAAACCTTCAGCTGCTCTATCTTATGCCCATTGATCTGCCATCTGTGTTTAATATGACTCCCAGAGAAAAACAGGATTTTAGTTTTTGAAAATTTATTATTAATTGCTCCTCCTGGCAGTATACTGTAAGAGCCCAGAGGGCTCTTCTGAGTCCTACCTCAGAGTGGGACAAGATGGCTGTATCATCTACATATAGTAAAGCTGGTAGTGGTCTGTTTGCCACCCTTGGTGGATAGAATTCTGGTCTGATCAGTGCTTGGACTACTGAACTAATATGGAAATTAAATAAAGGGGGGGGCAAAATACAGCCTTGGTTCACTCCTTTTTAAAAAGGAATCCTGCATGAAAGATTGGTTCCTACTGCCAGGAAGTTATTTTTGTGCAGCATACAAATAAGGGTGAATAGTCTATGATCAATTGATGAGGCCTCTAATTTAAGCCATAATCTGTCTCTGGCAATGCTGTCAAAGGCCTTTTTTTAGTTGACAAAGGATACACAGAGTACCCCATCGGTCATTAAACTATGCAGAAATTACATAGTAGGATTGTACTTACAGCAACAGAAAATATGTACTATATATTGGCTTGCCAAGTCCCCCCAGGGGGCAGGGAAACCCCCACCCCAGAGGCCCGTTCCCCGCCGCCGGCCCTGCCTATGGAAGGGGGAGGTGCTTTCCCAGGAGGAAGGAGTCAAGGACTGCACCACTCCTGGACCACCGGAGAATCATGGTGACCTCTGGCGACTCCTACTGAGGCATTAGGGATGTTCGGAGAACATCCTTGATAGCCTGCCTTTACCTCCTGGCCCTGGAATTCTTTGGATCCAATCAGGGGTCTTTTGGGGCCGGAGCACTGCTCCGGTAGCCCAGGAGCCCGCACTAATGGCGGCGGCAGCAAGCCCCGCCCCTAGCTCCCCGCACCAAAAGCACTGTGACTCGGGGGAGGCTGGAGAGCCCCGCTGCCGCATCCCCCAGGCCCATGCAGGAGCGCTGCAGCTTGGGGGAGGCCAGAGAGCCCCGTCGCCACATCCCTCGGGTCCACGCAGGAGTGCTGCAGCTCTGGGGAGGCCAGAGAACCCTGCCACTGCATCCCCCGGGCCTGTGCAGGAGCACTGCAGCTCGGGGGAGGCCAGAGAGCCCCGCCACCACGTTCCCCGGGCCCGCGCAGGAGTGCTGCGGCTCGGGGGAGGCTGGAGAGCCCCAGTGCTGTGTCCCCTGGGCTTGCTTTCCCTTCTCTTCCTCCCTTCCTCTCTTTTCTTCCTCTCTTCCTTTTATTCCCTCCTTTCCTTCTCTCCTTTTTTCTTTCCCTCCTTCTTCCCTTCTCTCTCATTCTTTCCCTCCTTCTTTCCTTCTCTTTCTTTCCCTCTTTCCTTGTCTCTACTCTCTCTCTTTCCTTCTTCTGTGGCCCAACTCTAGTGAGAAGGGGTTTAAACTTTAAACCCCTTCTCTCTTCGCTTCCCCCCCCTGGCTGGGGAAGGGAAGGGGAGATGCCTCCCCCCCTTTTGCTTCCCCTTCCAGTGATGTCAGGGGGCGTGGCATATGCTAAAAGCTAATGAACTCCTGCATATGCTAATGAACTCCTGCAGCTCTTTTTCTATGAAAAGACCCCTGGATCCGATCCAAATACTTGCCTGGGTCCGGCCCTGCTTAGCTTCTAAGATCTTACAAGATTGGGCTTGCCTGGGCTATCCAGGTCAGGGCTGAAACTAAGTAAAACATTTTTGAAAATTAATAGGAAATATCAGAAAACTCAGATACTTCAGATAAGAGTCAGAGTTGTGCAATGGTTAGAGTATCAGACTAGGAAATTAAATGTGTGAATGCCTTTGTTATTTATCTAATTTTCACCCTAATTTCCAAAGTTTTCCATGATCCTATTGCATGTATCCCCAAACAGACCTTGATTATGCATTAATTTGATGCTACTGGTTTATTTTAAGAATGAGCCATTTTCATTTCTACAACTTACAAGTAAATATCAGTATTCAGCGGTTAGAAAGTGCTCAGAATTATGCTTTTAAACACTTTGTTGAACACATAATTTCTTCCACATTAAACAAAAACTCAATTATGGCGAACACAAAATATAGTTTAGGTGAAAGATGCATGTTGGTGGCATTTTACTCCTCTTAAACCTATGCTGAGCAGGGAGGCTGATGAAGCATAACTAGGTTCCCCTACCAGCCTTCCCTTCTTCACTGAATTGCTCCCAATAGTATGCAAGCAGTGTCTGCACAGAACTGGTAGGGATC